TTGTCAATTGCCTCGCTATCTGTCGCAAGCACAAAAGAGAACTTAATTCTTAAAATCTAATTAACCAAAACACCAACTTACCTATCATTATTTGCTTATCTACTAATTCTAAAATAATTTTAAAAAGATGATAGGTAATTCGCACATTCTCCTAAAAGATTAATATAGGATTTTTACCGTTGTAGGTATACCAAATATTTTGAGGTATTTTGCAGCTAAAAAAATTTAGTCAGGTAGATATAACACGAAAGTTGGGGAGAGAGGGTGGGGCCAGAGAGTCATAGTCAACAGTGTGAGGGCTAGTCATTGGCTAAACGCCGCACACACACAGAACTACGCATTCCTAGGCAAAAAATGGCCTCTAAATGGCTAAGGCATAGTTAAAACTGGTAGGCCGTGAACTCTCTCGTCGCTCGCTATCTCTGTCTAGGCTCAAAGTTAACATGGCCCCAAACAATCAAAACAAACGCACTCTCTAGACCAATACACGACTACGACCGAAAAGTCAAGCAAGCGGCATACATAATCAAAACAAAAAAAAAAAACAACTGAGCACTGAGGGTAAAAGCCCATTGTATCCCTTCCTCTGAAAATTTTTTTACCTGCTACTGTTAAGATGCACCTAGAGGAAGAATACTTGGGTGCACATAAAAAAATTATTATGTAGGGCATAACAAAAACTTAATACGTAATACTTCTACTAATACATAATACTTACTGTTAAAAAAGTGTTGCAGAGAGTAACGGACCGTGTCTGAACCCCAATAAGTTGTTCCCTTTCAACGAAAGGGTTGTTCACGAACACGCCATCTGCGTAATATATTATGTGTCCAAGAACGAGTACAGAGGAGAAACAACCCTTTCGTATTACCTCCGTATAACTAATACAGATTCGGTTTTGTTCATTTAAACAACCGAATGCCTAAGAGGTTGGTATTAGGTATTCGGGAAGGGAATGCACCCTTTTGAATGCATTTTTCCAAATTATCCTCAAAATAAAAATATCCGAGCCACACCCCTGCCCATATATATTATCCACTGACCTATTATGTGTAAGAAGGGTGTTTTCGAACGTTAAAGAAAACGGAGCAAATACAACGTATGCGACTATACCTGACCATTATTGGGTTAAGACCTATTTCTTCCTAGAGGGTTCGATTCTCTCGATCGATACGAAGTAGGTACCATTTTTAGGTAACATAACAAATGGCAGAATCGGTCGAATTTCAGCCACATCTGAATTGCATTCCGAAGTTTCAATACCCAGTAGTGTTGTGTCTAAAATTTAATTAAACCACTCAATATCCTTTCGTTTCGTCAACGTACTGCGAGGATTTCCACGATGGAGACACTACTACTAAACAATTTTTTTTATTTTCGTTAGGGGAAATACGTTTCATTGTCCATCCTCGCCTTCAGGGGTTAAATGATTTATATCTAATGTAAAGGGGTAGGGTTGAAACAGTGTGGATAAATCAATGACGACTTTAGCTTGTTCCCGCTTTAACTAAACATTCGCACCTAGTACCTAACATTTATTATCCATCGCAATATCACATCGTGTATTAATGTTGTATTATCTAATTATCAACAAGAGAAATCGTTTCATAATTTAATTTTTATTTTTCTGGGGTTCAGAGGGGTACAGGTAGACCTAGATTATATTACAGTGTTCCCAATAAGTTTAGGATATGGAATGTTCTAGTTTTAGGGAAATGAGAAGATTAGCTCAGGGTAGGAAAAGGAGTGGAGCATCGCGTCCAAGTATTTTCAGGACTGATGATCTTATGACGATGAGAAGAACAAAGAGCGTTAGGTCAATAAGAAATTAGGCGAGATAAATTGGTAGGATACCTTCTTAGGCATTAAGGACTAACTGGAGACTTATTAGAAGCAGAAATAGGAGATAAGAGGTGTAGAGGTAGACCTATATAAGATTACTGTTCACTAGTTTTAGAGAAATGCGAAGATTAGCTCAAGATAGGAAAGAATGGTAGTGCTACGTTTCCAACCAATCTTAGGACTAATGATTCTATGATGATATGAGGAGAACAGAGGGCACTATGGAGGTCAATAAGAAATAGGAGACCTTCTTAGACATCAAGGGCTAGTTGCACACTTATTGGAAGTAGAAATAGGAGCTAAGAGGTCTAGAGGCAGACCTACAAGTATCAGATTACTGTTCACAGATAGTTGAAGGTGTGGGATGTTCTAGTTTAGGGAAATGCGAAGATTAGCTCAAGATAGGAAAGAATGGTAGTGCTACGTGTCCAACCAGTCTTAGGACTGATGATCCTATAATTATGTGAGGAGAACAGAGGGCACTATGGAGGTCAATAAGAAATAGGAGACCTTCTTAGACATTAAGGGCTATCTCTAGAGGCAGACCTACAAGTATCAGATTACTGTTCAAAGATAGTTGAAGGTGTGGGATGTTCTAGTTTAGGGAAATGCGAAGATTAGCTTACGATAGGAAAGAGTGAAGGTGCGAGACCAACCACTCTTAGGACTGATGTTCTTATGACGATGACGAGAACAAAGGGTGTCGGTCAATAAGAAATTGTTGGTTATATTAAGATTGGCAATGGTTCGGTGGTTTAATTGTAATAGTAATGAAAAATAGTAAAACTCCAATTGTACTTTATTGATCAGTAACAACAGAAAAACGTGTTAACATAACGGGAGCTTCTTAGGAACTAACTTTTAAAATGTACAAGTGTCTGCAGCCTCTTTAGGGACATAAAATATAGATGTGGCCTAAAGTGACCTCGACAATACGAATACATATTTCTATAGAACTAAACTAATCGTTGATTTCCAACAGAAATTAGGCGAGATAAATTGGTAGGACACCTTCTTATGCATTAAGGGCTAGTTGGACACTTATTAGAACAGGATAGGATAGAATGTACGTGAGTGTCAAACGAGTCTTGGGAGTGACGGAACAGAGAGCGTTGTGAAAGTCAATAAGAATTAAGCGAGATATATTGTTTAGGGACGCCTTCTCAGGCTTGAAGAGCTAGTTAGAGACTTACTAGAAGCAGAAACATTCGCTGAGAGAGAATAAAGTCCAAATGTACCTTTGGTTCTTGGCGTGTTTAATATTATAATAATAAAATCTGATAAAACTACTATTTATTTTATAACTGTTAGAGACTAAGAAGAGTAGAACGAAGGTTGATTTAGAACTGAAGAATTTAGAATTTGAATAATTTAGGAAAATTGTGAAGGTGGAGCTAAGGGTTGTAGATAAAATTAGGGAACCAATACTAAGAAAATATAATTTGAAAAATGCCGAAGATAGAAAATATAGAATTAAGTTGTTGAACCCAAATCACCGAAGAAACCCCTCATAAAATAGCAATTAGGAAAGACAGCAAAGTACAGACGTCATGCGGTTAGTACGCGAAGTTGAAATGTTAATAGGGATTATAGGAAAGTACAGTAATAAAAATTATTGGAACAGATGGATAGAATACAAAAGCTTTAGAAGATAATGTTGAGAAATATTTACACAGAAAAGGAATACTATACAAAAGATTTACATATTTACAAAACTACATTATATATACAGGGTGCTCTAATTTATGTTGGTCGCTACATACCTATTTTAATCCATCAAATATTTGAGACTAGCAATCATGGCGCAGGTAAGGGAATGTTTTTCATAGTACTTACACGGGTATAGTCATGTAATCATCAGAGAGGTAAAATTATTAGGCATCTTATCCCCTGAGGAGGGAGTGGCTAAAGGTTTTTACTTTGTTATTCTGGCGGAGGTTGAATTCCTCCTGGATTTTTTACTAATCTTCTTGTTATATAGGTACCTAATTTGTCCCAAAATCTAATAATAGATACGACAAGTACCTACTCCAACCGTCCATCCATTATCAGGTAGTCGTTTCTATCCCGAGCCGATTGAGCCCCTGATGATGTCTTTCTCCCCCTTTTCGCCTGGCGTTGCCTCTTTCTCGTTTATACTTCTACACCGGTGCGGTGTGTGTCTCGATTTCCGCGTTGTAATTCCCCTACTTTTAACCCAAATTTTCAGGCGGACGCATGGTGGCACCCCGCTTTAAACCCCGCCCTTTCTATCGCCCGCCTCTACTCTCGTCGCTAGCAATCCCCGCATTAGGCGCATTTATACAAAACCTCCAAGAAACATCCGTAACACCGAATAACTGTACATTTTGTGGTGGCAACAGTTCAACCATTTTAAGGGATGCGGACGTTATTTAGATATAAGCCTGGCGTACGTAAACGCCGCAGAAATATACTACATCTACCCGTTTTAGGAACAAGTGGCCCACTTAAGTAAGAAGTGGGTCATGTCCGACTCTTACAATTAATTTTTCAAATTTACCTGGGTAGGAAGATTTTACGTTTGTGAATTACTTTACCCTAGACGTTTTTTTACAGTATATAAGTAACAAATTCAACATCCTTCGTAACTGTAAAAAACACTAATTTAAGGAAAATTTTCTTTGTGCCTAATTGCACACGGTATAATAAAAGTTAGTCGGTTACAATAGGAAAACCACGCAGAAATCTAAGTAGGCAGGCATAATGCACTCGTTCAAGGAAACAAAAGAGGCCTTTGCCGTACGAGCAATGACTAACAACACAGCAACGTAAAATTAATAATAACCTACACGTTTATTTGTTACATATGCAACGAGAATTCTTGAATCCGTACGTTTATACGTATGTGGTTTCCATTGTCGCGACTTAAAACAAGATGGCAGCTATCGGAACGGTTCAAGGACGTAAAAAAGGCCAGAGATTACTCCGCAATAAAAATTGGGGTCGACACGGCAACAACGTCATATAAACGACTCAATCCAGCGATCGTCACACAAATGACACGAAAAAATAGCAGCAACCACAAAACCCTTTACCTCATGGGGTATAAAAATACCTCAATCGGGATCTCACACGCATTTTTACCTGCTCCAACAAACAAAACCCTAATACGTCAAACTCGTCAAGAAAAAACTTACAAGATTTCGTTGGACTGTTGGCTAAAAAGTCGTAGCAGGTATCCAAAATAATCTAAGGAGGCAAGTACTTCCGCCATTCTGTGAATTATCTATTTGAGAAACTGCAGTATAAATTCCAAAAGGGGAACCACCACCGAAGACCACCACTGAGCACTCGCGATCACAGCACAGCCTAACAGGGCACAAAACGGTGAGAGCACTAGGTACCGTTCGCCTATTTTTGGGCAGCGTTACCAGGCAAACCGACATTTTGTTCCCGTTTTTCGTTTTGCAAATTGCAGCAGCCCAATCAGTGCGCCGCTGCACCGCCAGAAACACACACACACACAAATGCACACTCAACACGGATGATTATTACATAAAATACGCACGTGTCGCCCCCAACCGCCTCTGCATCGAACTACTAACCAAAATGCAACTAACGGCACCACAGTGTTCTAGCGGCTTCGTACCACCAGAGTTACCACCATTTAAAAACAATAATAATTGTTGTATCAACATGCCAATACCACCAATAATATGGGAAAAACTCTCCTGGTCGCAGGCGGCTTACGCGACAAAAGAGCGCGAGCGCGACGTTGCCAGTGCGACGGACGGCGGGACCTTGTCGTGCGTGTGCGATGCACTTGCAACAATGACAAAACGCAATAATTGACGAGGGGCGACATGCTCCGAATATACTGCAACGCGGAGGGCTGTTGTATTGCATGGTTGGCCGTGTGCAGTTGGTATAATAAAGGTATTGATCCCGGGTGGCGTTACGATTCGCGTCGCCGTCAGTCGGTCGCTGGCTCGGCCTGCACATGCGGTCGCGATCCGATTGCAACTGCAGTCGGCGAGTGCACTTCAGCACTTGAGCTGTACTGAGGCCAACAGCAATGGACGACAACAATGTCAGTACCAAATACCTGGGCATGCTGACTGATCGTGGTCGGATTTGGTTTCACATGCTGGCCTACTACAATTTTCCGTTTAATCGCATCCCACGTGTCCGATTTCTTCGTTGCCGAACCTCGTACACTCTTATTACGTAATTCCGCGGACTATTAGAAATAGCGCTTAATATTAGTAATACCAACAATGGGTACCTAGGTGGGCAGTTTGCTATCTCATTACTGAACGTTCACAGCGCATTTAAAATTTTAATTTAATTTAATGAAAACGCTACCGCTGTTCCTTAATTTTACTGCCGAAACATATTCTGATATCGGCTTCGATGTTGCTGCTGTACGAATTCTTCTATTGTTCTATTATTGTTTTGGAAAATCGCAGAATTTTTCTTGTTGGGACCATTATACAGGTAATAATTAGTCCTCTCCAGCCTTTCTGGAATCAGATGACCTTTGAATCATCTAATTAAAGGATGGGCCCGACTTTGCCATCCAGGATGCTGTAGTGTTAATCGAGATTTTTAATTGAAAATTACCAATATTTTAGCTTGCTTAATATCATTAAACATAAATATTCGTAGGGTGTCAGTCGCGCCGACGGAAACGTTATTAACTCGGTCTGAGGCAAAGGGGTTTTAGTTGGTAAGTTCTCCAAGGAGGGACTCCAACACACCCAGTCGTAAGAACCTTCGTCATTAGGCGATGGTATGTCATGCCCTCCATTGAAGTCTTTTGGAAGGCTGGAATTGGATCAAAACAAGGTCCTTTCAACAGTAATTTGAATTTTTGGGAATACCAGAAGTCACAGGAGTCAGGGGGCTAAATCAGGTGAATTTTGAGGATCATCATGCAATATATGATGATTCCTTGGCCAAAAACTCGGGGTAATGTTGCTTCTATGAGCTGGTGCATGTAACAAAAGAAACCAAAGACCAAAAAATACTGTCATTAGGTGATGGAATGGTATGCACCATCATCGGCGACGGTAATACTATTCCATAATACGCTCCTTGAGAATCTGTACAACGTTGCCATAAAACCTTCTGAAACCCTCTTGGTGCCTACTCATTCTTCGGAACTGCCTTTAAAAGACCTTTCATTGAAGTCTTTTGGATGGTTGGAATTGTATTAAAACGCGTTTGCATTTTGGGAATACCAGAAGTCAAGGAGCTAAATCAGATGAATATCGAGGATGATCAAGCAATACGATGGTTTCTTGGCCAAAAACTCTCTTGTTGTTGCTTGTGTAAGCTAGTGCATTGTCAATGTAACATCAAGAAGATCACAAATTGAGCTCTAGATAATCTACTATGACTATATGAATTCTGGCTAAATCTTTATTCTTCTTGGACTGATAACAACAGTGAACAAAGTCTTGATTCTGCTCTTTTGCATCCGAACTTTCTTTGGAGTAGGATCTCCTGAACTCATCCATTCTGATTTGTTCCCTTTGCTATATACCTAGGGTTTACCATGTTAGTCATCATGAAGTCTCGATCCGTATCAAACGATCCTCCAATGTCTGTCCAATTCTCCAATCTTCTCGATCTTCTGTAAACGTGTGAGGAGCAACACTGGAGCAAACATTTCTTCTTCCCAAATTTTCAGTTAGAATAAGATAGACGGTTGATTTGATGAGAATGCCAGTGATGATCATGATGATGATGGGATGCTGGCAGACTCCGATCTTTTCGAAGAATTTGAGCAAGTTTCTGAATGGACTGATATGTTAGTAGACATATGATATGACTCATTATACTGAGCTGCAGATAATGCAATTTAAACTCATTGTCCACAACTACGTCTCACGTCCAAATAACCAATAAGAACCGATGTGGGTATACTAATATTAGCCAAAAAAAAACTCTAGGTGGTCAGGCTACTTAAAATTATTATTTTCGTTTTTGGCTCAATTGGAAAGCTAAAAAGTTACTAAAACTTTTCTTCAGTGCGCTTGAGTGAAAATCCTGTAAATGTAAACCTTCATTTCGCGGTCCCAAAAGAAATCAAAAATAAACAGCAGACAATATCCGTAATCACATTCCTTTGTTTCAAATTTTTCAATCTAACAACTGCGTAGATATCTGTGTAGTTTTATCAGCAAGCAATTTCGCTATAACGTAACAACACCTAATTGTACCAATTGTAACTATAGTTATTATCAGTCATTGTCATGTTTTTTTTTGACTTGAGAGATTAGCCGGTCAAGACACCAATAACTTTTTTATTTGATCTTTCTAAATATATATTTCTAACATACTTTTTGACAAGAGTTAATATGCCACAAAGAACGTAAGGTCTAGCAATAATTTCCAATAATGATTACAAACACTATTAATAATAAAGAGGATTTTCTTTTAACAAAGGGTTCATTGGACTATGAATAATACTGATGGTTAAAGAGTAGAAGATACCTACTGGAGGTTAAATATGAAATATATATATTAAATTAAGTTAGTGTGGTTTTACATCCCTGATAAATTGTTGAAGATGAGAAAGAAGAGAAAGGGATCGGTGGATTATCAGATGGAACCGTGTATTAGAAGTTTATTTAGATTTTCATAGCTGTCACTTGAAGAAATTGGATTTCTAATCGTGTCTTATTAGTAAAATCCCAATGACGGATCATGGGGACATCAAAAATGATACATGTTTTGTTTCCTATCACATGAGACATGCAGGATGCAGGATTTCCAACGCTGCTGGTGACATATTTTAGACTTTTATACTTCTCCGTCCCCCGAAACCAAACTGTAGTGAAGAAGGGGTAACTGTTAAAATTTATTTGCATGGGTGGTAGATTTTTCCTACTCAGAGTCTTGGGTTATGGATCTAAGAAATTCCTATTTTTTGCCAGTCGAATGACATTCCACACACGTAATTTCTACAGCAACCCCTCGAAAAATCTGACCCGAACGAACCTCCCTTTGAGTACGACCCATCATGTTCACATGTACACATACGTGCACACACACACACACACACGTGTAAGTAAAGTAACTACATATCTATAGCTACAGGCAGTAGGTACGTAAATCCAAGTCTTCGAGAAGAGTAAAAAGAAGAACACACAGTGAAAAGAAAAGAAATAAAAATAAAAAAGCGATAAACCCGACCAGTTCTGATGCTGCCGTACACCTTGTGCTTGCTTATGGTAGCCGTTCTTCGCAGTTACTACGGCCTATTGTCCCTCTCTGCCCTCTTGTACATTTCTTCTTGTAATACTTGTATGCGTTTATACGGGGTGTTGTGCCAAATCAAAACAAACAAAATTAGAGCCAGAGATAGGCATAAACTAATAGAGGTCTCATTCATTGTCAATCAAAGTAGGGTCATGTGGACAGTGCCATCACGATGAACTTTTTCGATATGTTTTTCAGTTGTCTATTCATACAAACATGTGACCAGGGGCGCAACAACGTTGCAGTTTGACTAAAAGCCTTCGAAATGTGGTGTTATAGGCGAATGATGAGGATAACGTGGGTACGAAAGGTTAGAAATGAAGAGATATTAGAATGAATAGGAGAACAGAGGACTCTATAGAAGTCAATAAAAAATAGGCGAGATAGGTTGGTAGGGCACCTTCTCAGACATGAAGGTCTAGTCAGAGACATATTAGAGGCAGAAACAGGAGTTAAGAGGAGTAGAGGTAGACCTAAATTAGATTACTGTTCGCATCAAATAGTTAAGGATGTTCTAGTTTTAGGGAAATGCGAAGTTTAGCTCAGGATAGGAAAGGGTGGAGGGACGTGTCCAACCAGTCTTAGGACTGACGACCTTGCGATGATGAATGTATTGAATTTATTATACATGAAAAAGAGTTTTAGAACTATTTGAACCGAACTTTCAAGTTGGGTTATTATCCGAATCGACTGGAATTGACTGGGTGCCCAACCCAATCGAGTGGGTGCCCAGGCACCCGTGCCCCTACATGTGACCATATGCACCAGTGGTGACTTGGCAACCGAACATAGGGATGTTCTGCTATCTACATACAATCATCTAAAAGGGTGGCGTCATATTAATTTGAAATCATTTTTTTGATTTTTTATTTACCCACTACAAACTACCGCAAATTAATGAGGGAAAAATTGTTGCTGTTGTCACACCCCCGCCGGGAATCGAACCCGGAACCTTTGGCTTTACGCACCAATGTTCTACCACTAAACCACGAGAGGTGACAACAGCAACCACGACCAACCGACCTGCAAGGTTAACGATCCGTCGATTTTTATTAACTTAATTATATATATGTATTAAATAGGTATATGAAATCCTATGGGTGGCGTCATCTTTTAGAAAATACGACATGGTTTATTAGAAGTACCCCTACGTTGGATGTATGTATTTTATTCGGTCTTATTTCTTAAGGACACTCTGTATAGGCTTTTCTCGTCTCAACATCGACCGCGATCGTCCTCGCTAGGTCCTCTCAGCTCCTTTCTCGC